TATTTCTTCAAATAAGATTAGGGTCTGCTGTTCATTTTCCCAGTTCTATGCTGTGTTTTTGTCTGCCTAAGTTTGCATGGCACCTCTGTATGCTGACACCATTGCCATAGAATTATATGAGCAGGTTCCCAGGAGCTTGTAAGACTCTGTTCCCATATGGTCATGTACCTCTTCCATGGTTCTTACAATCTTTCTGCCCCCTCTTCTGCTATGGTCCCTGAGCCTTGGGTGGGTGAAGTTTAATAAAAGGATCCTGTCCAAGGACCAGAATTCAGCAGACTCTTGATCTCCATGATTTGGCCATTTGTGACTTTTGTGTTCCTGGCCCTCTGTTGCATGAGGAAGCTTCATTATTGACAGCTAAGAGATTCATTAATGTCCTCTTCTTTATCCCTGTTCTATGTTCCATGAGCCATAGGTGTAGAGGTTGCATTGTAGATGTGTCACTTAGGCCTGGGCAGTTCATAGACAATGTCCATGTGTGACCAGTTATGGTACATGATAATAGTTTCCAGCTGATTCAAAATTAGCTTCTTTAATGAGTGGTGACCGGAATATTTTTCTATAAATATAAGGATACATATTTTTCAAATAGTAAGAAAACACATTAGTCTAGAGATGTGATAGACAGTCTTGGGGTTTTCTCTAAGATCTATAGCCACTCCAGCCATGTGTATTAGGTTATGTTCACAGTACCACACTTGAGTTTCCTCCCACTGAATGGGCTTTTAGTTCAATTAGGTAGCTGTTGATTGCTCCCAAGATAAAAGTGCCACTACTGCACCAGTGTCATCTGCTGTGCTGGCCATTGATGTGGTTATTTGGTCTTGAAGCTGGTGTTGGATCATTGATTGATGTTTTCCCTTGGCACCATTATTTGTATAAGATTATGTAAGATGCAAAATTAAAATGTTGGAAATGACTTTAATTATACAGGGAGGCTATGGAGGGAAAAGTGGGAGAAATAAAATGAAATAATAGTGTATTCACTACTCTACTTGTGGTGATAGTTTCTGGGCTGTACATATGTAAAAATGTTAAATTGGGGGCCAAGGAGATAGCTTAGTCGATAATGTGCTTGCCATGTAAGCACAAGGACCTGAGTTTGATCCTCTGAATCCAAATTGAAAAAATAGCTAGGTTTAGATTTTGTAGTTTCAGTGCTGAGGAGGCAGAGACAGGCTGATTCCTCGGTTTTTTCTAGCCAGCCACCTGCTTAGTGAGTTGAAGGGCAGTGAGAAAATTCTGTCTCAATTTATAAAAGATAGGGCAAAGAAGAGGGAAAGAGAGAGAGAGAGAGAGAGAGAGAGAGAGAGAGAGAGAGAGTAGTACACACCTTTCTTTAATTCTGCACTCAGGAGGAAGAGGCAGGCAGATCTCCATGAGACTGAGGTCAGTCTGGTCTACATAGCAAGTTCCAGGACAGTTGGGGCTACAGCAGATCACTTCTCAAAAAAGAGAGAAAGAAAAGAAAAGGGGAAAAAATGACAGCACAAGAGAAATGACACCCAAGGTTATGCTCAGCCTCCAAACACACACACACACACACACACACACACACACACACACACACCTGCATATACAAACACATATACCTGAATACAAAAACATATCAAGTTGTAAATTCTAAGTGCATGCAGCCTATTTATGGCAACTGTATTTCAGTGAAGAGCTAAACAGTAGTAAAAGGTCAGGACATGAACATTGGTCAACGCTGTTTATGGTCTCCGAACAATTCCCAGAGCTTAGTGTCTTTTGGGATTGGTCTCTCTTTTTTCCCCTCTCTCCTCTGTTCCCTTCAATTTTCCTTTGCACAGCAAATCAGCTTTGTCTCCCACATTTACTGCTACACTTCACTTTGTACATCCAAAATTAGCTTTAAAATTATAGTTTTAAATGCTTATGTGCTTATTTTTAAAAAATGAAAGCACTCACACCATGAAGCTAGAGGAAAACTGTTCTATTTTTCTCTTGCTTTGTTTTTTTTCTTTACTTTCTTTGTTAAAGTTTTATCTAGAATTGTGAATGACCCTTATCATCTTCATAATTCAGGATCATATCCACTTGAGATATTTTACTACAGTAATGTCAACATCTGCTGAGAGCTACTTTCCCCATGGCATTTTATTCCTATCCAAATTGCCTTGAAAATTCTGCCTTTTAAGTTTCTTTTCCTTTTCTTCATTGTCAGATTGTCAGCTGTTACTTCTGCTGTTTTTAGGTCTATTCAGAGAATAAACATATCTCTTTCTTTGTAATGTCCTAGCTTTAATCTGTTTTGATTCAGAAAACATAGAACCAGGCTAATAAAAAAGATACATAAATTACAAGAAATACAGAGCCTGAGTAGCCCAGGGATGCTTTCTTTTGGTAAAGCACTTGAGAATTGAACCATTCATTCACTTTGTTGTTATGCTACTTTTAATTTTTTAAGGTAGCGCCCAGGCTGGCCTAGAACTAAGTCCTCCTGTCTCTCCCTCTCAGCATACTCAACCCATGAGTGCCATCCTAACTGGGTTATGTTTTTCTTATTATGGTAGGTGTTAATTTTTAAGTTTGCACACAAAGCAGTTGGTCTTCTCTAACCCTCCCCCTGTTCCTTTGCTCTATGCTCACTGGTCCCTCTCTCCCCACCAAAAACGCAACTTCTGCTTTTGTGTCTCATATACTCCACTACCTTCTTTATTCCTTCCTCCCCTCCTCTCTTAATATCTTCTTCCCCCTCCTACGATTTCCTTTTAAGTTTCATGACTGACACAGACATGTACCTATATACAAACTGAGATCCAGGATCCACATATGAGCCAAAACATGTGGGTGGCATCTGTCTTTCTGAGTCTAAGTTATTTCCTTTAACATGATTTCCAGTGCCATCTATTCTCCTACAAATGTCATGATCTCAGTTTTATTTATGGATACATAAAATTCCATTTATGTATGTACCATATTCTCTTTATCCATTCATCTGTTGATGAACTTCTAATTCTTTTTATTGCTTTTTTGAGAATTTTATATATGAACACTGTAATTTCACCATTTCTACCCTTTCCTCATCCCCTCCAATTCTTCCCATGCTCCCCAACACCTCCTCTCAAACTCATGGCATCCTCTTTTTAAATTATTATTGTTACATACAGCACACACACACACACACACACACACACACATGCACACATGCACACACACACGCGCATGAACACATTTAACAACTACTGAGTCCATTTAGTGATGCTCATGTGTACATGTGTTTAGAGCTGAGCACTTGGGATTGGATAACCTATCAGGAGCTCATTCCTGAAGAAAACTGATTCTCCCTCTCTCAGCAGCCACTGATTGCCTATGGCTCTTCATCTAGGGGGTGGGACCTTGTGAAACTTCCCCCATCTACTTCAGCATGTCAGCTGATCTCATATTTCAAGTCTTGCTTAGTCAACCATATTCTTGAGATTTCTTGGATGCAGTTTCCCTTTCGTATCTAAAAGACACTATTTCACAGCAGGCTCCTGGTCCTCTGCTCTTACAATCTTCCTGTACCTATTCTGCAGTGTTCCCTGAGCCATAGGTGTAGGGGTTGCATCGTAGGTGAGCACCCCATGGTCACTTATTCTCTCTATTTTGACCAGTTGTGACCTTTGTTGTAGTCTTCATCTGTTGTTGTTTCTTTGATCAGGAGTGATGTGAGTATATGTGTGAGTAGGAGGATGAGATTTGGAAAACAGAAATTCTATTGGTTTAGGAAAATAGCAGTGGTAGGTTCTCTTCTAGGGTTTGTGACCTTTCCTGCCACTGGGTTTGGTCCCCCGAGATAAATGACATTTCTGTAGTTTTATTGTACTAATTCCCAAGAAAAAATGTGGTTCTAATCAGTTTCCCTGTTCCCAGGGTTAGACCCTGTCAATTTTCCATACACTCCTATTCCAAGGTTGTCTTTGGCATATACACTGTCTTTTCTATTTAGTCAGATGCTTTTTAACATGTCTTTTGGTAACTGTAATACTATTGCATAGGTTATCTGACTCATGATCAATCATGTATTTAAAGAGAAACTTGGATTGACACGTTAAAACAAATTTGACCACAGCACTATCAAGAGCTGTAATCTTTCCTAGTTTGATGCTCAAATAGCACAATTGATAAAAATGACATTAATTAGTCCACTGTAGATGACTTCAAAGAGTGTCACATCTGGAATAAACTAAATCCATATCTATAAATTCAACTACAGGTGGTTGGCATTCTCCAGCTCTTCTTGTACTCTGAAATATTTTTCCAATTTAAACCTACTCATAGATCCTATTCGATTTTTTTCTTGGTATATATGTGCTGTACAATGGTTGCTACAAAGCAAACACTATTAAAATGGGTAACTCAACAGTGAAGTTAAATGACCCTTTTATCCTATTATCTTTGTGTCACTTCTATCCATCTATGCCTTAACAAATACATCTTTTTTAGAGATGACTGTGGCTCTGAGACTGCCATTTAGAAGTTCATGTTTGGCAATAATCCTTCAACATATATTTCAAAAGAGAATAATATTTGCCTCCATTTCAACACTTAGAGATATGGGAAGTGCTTCCTGATCACCCTGTAAGAATAAAACATGATTAGGGATAAAGTCAGTGAATGTTTTTAGCTCTTAAACTGCTTAATTTCTGCAGCCCCGGATATTGGCCAGGGACACCCTTGCAACTCTTCCAGCCATCATGCATGGAGGGATTCTGTACCTTTTACTTCCTTAATAACACAGTCTCCTAGTTTCTCCTTCTCATGGCTGGAATCCAAACCAGCCCTTTTCTCTACATTGTAGTCCAAAGGACTCTGTTCTAGACCTCCTCATCCTCCAAAAAGCAGCTCCAAGTCATCAAATGTGCATTGGTAATTTAAAATTCTAAATCTGTGGTGCATAAAACAAGCTCTGTATACCTGCTGCCTTCTGGGGCTTGCTGCCCTATTTCTCTCTGGTTTGGGATACCTTACCTCTCTTTTTCTGTCCACAGGCAACAGGTCCTCAAGGCTTATTGAAGGAAGATGCCAAAGGTTCTCTTCAGAAAAGCTTCAGGATCCTTAATGAAGCCAAGAAGTTAGCAAATGATGTGAAAGGTTAGTGACCAAGGTTTCTATTATATTATATTCATTATAATATTATATTATATTCATTATAAGAATTAAATTATTAAACATCACTTTTAAATTGTTCTATAATATGATATGGTACAAGTAAAGTTTCTCACAAATTTAGCAATACTTTATCTTCACTTATTACTTCCACTGGGTAATATTTCTCAACTTTTAACCTAGTTTCTATAGCACTTTTACCATTCTAAAACACATTTTCAATATGAAAAATTTCAAAGTACCAAACTTCATTTTGTTATGGTTTCAGAAATAAAATTCAGATAAAATGATTTAGGAGAACATGTCATCAATGCGTTTGTAAAATTTTCAGCTTTGTAAATAGGTTCTGAAGTTTCCAAAAAATTTTAAAATATTGTCATTTTTTTCTTCTGTATTGAACATATCAATATTCATAAAATACCTACTCTCGTATAGTATTGGGTTTGTGCTAAGAACATGTTCTTAAACATGGTTGCTGTCAGTGTAAGCTATTGTATATATCTTTTCTTTCAAGTAATACCCGATTCTCAGTCATATTGCCCTGTTTCTCTAGTCTCATCCCTTGGTATCACCTAGTTTGCCTGCATCTGTGGCATCCTCCTCCTCCACCTTACTACATATGCACAGACCCTCTAAAGTATATTTTCAGTCCAAGGCACCATATGCTTATAGGGGTATTACTGTTCCTTGTAGTTACCCATTCCCCTTGGCTTTTCTCTATCTGACCTTCTGCCAGAGCTTCAGCTATTAGCTCAGCAGCACTCTGGAGGATGGAGGTAGAAAAGGCAAGAGGACAGTGAGTTCAAGGAAGGCTGGATGACACAGCAAGTGGTTGGGCTGGGAACATTGCTTGGTGATAGAGTGCTCACCTGGCGAGCATAAAGTCTTAGGTTCCATCCCCAATACTGCACGTAGTGAATAGTAGTTAGATAAGTATGATATCCTGTGTGAAAGCCATTAAATAAATAAAAACAGTCTTAGCTTAGACCTTTTCTCCAGGAAACAGCAGCATATCCAACTCACACTCATCCTGTCTGTGCAGTCTTTCTCATAGGCCCGACAAACCACTGCTGTAATAGACTTGACACGATATTCTTCAGGAAAGACATTTTTGAACTCTGAAGTTATAATGTATAACTTACCACCTCATTCAAATTGTGATGTAATTACTGATTTTTTAAATAAATAATAAATCATTTTATCATATTATTTATTAGCATATATTTATAATTAAATAAGGAATAAATTATAAACAAATTATAGATTTTAAAAATTCATTTTTATTGAATTTTTGTGTATTTCATACAGATCAACTCAATCAATCCTAATCATCTTTATCCCCTTCCCCACTGACATCCTCCCATAGATCCCCACATTCTGTCATTTGTGTTGAGGTTTATTGTGTCAGTTAGTGTCCCCAGATGTTCCTCAGTGCAAGTTCATCTCTTAAGGTCTAGTCAACTTATCTAGAGTCCCTCACTTTAGGAAGATCAGCTCTTCCTCACCTAGCTGTAATCAGTTTCCAGTATTTCTTCAGCTCAGATTAGAGTCTGCTGACCATTTCCCCGGTTCAATGCTGGCTTTTTGTCTGCTTGAATTTGCATGGGACATGTGAATGCTGACACCATTGCTGTAGATTCATATGAGCAGGGCTCCCAGGAGCTTGTAGGATTCTATTTCGCCATGGTCGTGGGCCTCCTCCCTGTCTCTTACAATCTTTTTGTCCCCTCTTCCGCAATGCACCCCAAGTCCTGGGTGGATGAATAATATAGGAGTCCTGTCCATAGACCAGCATTCTGCAGACTCTTAACCTCTATGCTTTGACCCTTTGTGACCTTTGGTGTTCCTGGCCCTCTGTTGCATGAGGGAGCTTCATTAATGAGAGCTGAGAGATTCATTAGTGTCTTCTTTACCCCTGTTCTATGTTCCATGAGCCTTAGTAGAGGTTGCATTACAGATGTGTTGCTTAGGCCTGGGCAATTCATAGACAATGTCTGTCTGTGACCAGCTGTGGTACTTGGTATAGTCTCCAAAAGAACCTTCTTTGATGAGTACTGACTTGGATATTTTTCTGTAAATATAAGGATATATATTTTTCATATAGTAAGAAATTACATTAGTCTAGGGATGTGACAGTCTTGATGTTTTCTCTAAGATCTGTGACCTCTCAAGCCATGTGTATTTGGCTATTTTTACAGTTACCATACTTGAGTTTCCTCCCATTGAGTGGGCATTTAGTCCAATTAGGTAGCTGTTGGTTGCCCCCAAAATAAAAGTGCCACTTACTGCACCAATGTCATATGCTATGCTGGCCATTGTTGTGGTTATTTGGTCTTAAATAAGTCATTACTTGTCTTAGAAGGCAGTTTGAAACATTTAGATTTGGCATGCTTTAAACTAAAATATCTTGGACTCCATTAGCAATTCATGTGAAATTACAAGATCTTGGGGCTGAAGAGATGCCTCAGTGGTTAAGAGCACTGGTTGCTCTTGCAGAAGACCTGGATTCAGTTCCAAATACCTACATGGCAGCTATCAACTGTCCCAACTCCAGTTCCAGGGGTTCCAATTCCCTCTTCTGACATCTGCGGTATTACACAACATGGGTGCACTTATATACATGCAGGCAATGCACTCATACACATAAAATAAAAATAATAAAAAATAAACAGAAATTCTGAAATCTATCTCCTTTATATCTTGAATTTCATATTAAAATGCTTTAGATTGTGTATTACATTTGACGTAAATGTTTCTTCTTACATAGTACATGTTGGTGATAGCTCACCTACAGTGAGAAGTGTGACTATAAAGAGCCATAATCTGTTTGTGTGTTGGACAAGGAGAATTGATCATTACTTTGTAGCCACTCTCCCTATTTAGTGCCCATGCTAAGGCTGGGCTCAGGGCACAGGAGTTACAGGAGCTGCACAAGTACAAAGCCAGGCACTGTCTTCAAAAATTTACTATATTGTTTATCATGGATCTTCTTTGTATCAATTTTGATGTAAAATAGTTATTCAAGGGGCTGGGTAACTAAATTGGCAGAGTGCTTCCCTAGCATGCCCTGGGTTCAGTCCCTAGAACTACATAAACTGGGCAAGGTTGAGGATATCTGTAACCCCAGTACTAGGGAGGTATAGAGGCAGAAGAATCAGAAGTTCAAAGTCATCCTCAATTGAAAAGCAAGTTTGGAGCTAGCCTGAACTAAAAAAGCCCCTGTCTCTGAAACAAAGTAAAAAGTTACTCTATTAAAAAAAAAAAAAAAATATTCTATTAAAAAAAAAAAAAAAAAAAACTTGTGTTTTGGCTGCTGTGTCTTGGGGTACTCCTTCAGAATTTACCCCTGAGCTGAGAGCTTCAAGTATCTCACACTAATCCCTGTCCTGCCTTGTCTCTGCTTCTCCCCAAACCTCCTTCATTACACAAATGAAGACACATTCTATTTTTAGCATGTAGAAAGAAAATCTTAGGACCAGGATGGTAGAAAAGGTTAGGAGACAGAAATGCTCATTAATTTAAACATCTTTTATTTGTACTTCAGGTAGTACGTTAGTTAAAGTCATGAAAACCCACAAACTACTCAAGTAATAATTTCCCCAGAAAACCTAGCCAAGGCCATGACGGAGATGGGAATGTTTTCTTGCTACATTATGACATTCCCTTGATTTGTGGCCAATTACACAGGTTGTAAAATGGCTGTTAATCAGGGACATGCCATCTATTACCACCAGGAGCTGCTGAAGTAGGCCCTGCAGAGCAAAACTCTTGACAGCAGCTATTAAAGTAGAGATTTAGTCATTTCTCTCTCTGTGGCGCCTGGAGTTAGAAGGAATAAAAATGGTGGGGCCAGCATGCCCTCCATATTTCTAATTTGTCGCTTGTTCAAGTCAGTACAGCTCACTTTGTCCCTGCACTTTTAGTCACAAATGGCTTACTGCTGCTCCGTGTCATTTCTATGCTGTCCTTGCCTTGAGGGAGTCTCAACTTGCCAGGAGCAATTTGTTTTGCTTTTTAATTTTCGAATATACATCTGTTAAAAGTAAACTTGCCCCTGTGCATGTTTGAGCTTTGAAGCCAGACTGCATTGAACTGATTGAATGTCTGTGGAGGCAAAAATCATTTCGTTGATAGATTCTAGGCTTGGGACAAACGATGATTGAAAGAGTCAGAGGATGAATTAATACCACCAAGTGAATACCACTCTATAGAGGAACAAGAAGTTTTGTCAATAAAATAGTCAGTTGAGGTTCTCATACAATATGTATGGGGCAAGAATGCAGTAGTAGGTGGAACACTAAGATTTTTTGGACCTTGTCTTATACGTAGTCACTTTTCAATTTTATTTACTTTCTAATTTTTGGTTTTTCCTAAGGTAAGTGAAATTATTAAATCCTTAGGAAAAATAAGTAGAAATTCAATAAAATGAAAAATGTTCAAATAAAATAAAAGGATTATTTCAAGCTCAAAAATACTAGGGGGATGGAGAGATGGCTTAGCAGTTAAGAGCAATGACTACGGGTTCAGTTCCAAGTACCCATGTGGTAGCTAAGAACCATCTGTAATCCCAGTTTCAAGGGATCTAATGTTCTCTTCTGACCTCCACAGGCATTGCACACATGTGGGGCACAAACATACAATCAGGCAAAACACTCATAAAATAAAAATAAATCAAACAGAAAAGAATAATAAATCAGAGAATTCCTTGACATACAGTACTGTCCAATACACAGAACAGGGTAAAACTATATTCCCATCATTAACAATTACCCCACCAGTTAACACTGTCTTTCTGTACAATGTTCCACCAAGTACCCAGGAATTCACTCTACACAAGTGTATCTGAAGAGTATTGAGATGATTGAGATAGTACATTTGCAGATATTTATTTATTGAGATTCTCTCATTATTCTATTAGAAAAAAATTATGTTATTTAGTTTATGTATATTATATTCCTATTAATAAATAGGACTATGGTGGTGCT